AACCTTGGGGTACTCTACTTGATACGGGCTGCCAATTGGACATAGAGCTATTGATTACTACCCTTGGAGCCTGACCATCCAGCCAGTTTTTTTTAGCCTTCTTACAGTCCATTCATCCAGTCTGTACTTCCTTAGCTTGCCTGCAAGAATGTAATGGAAGACTGTATCAAAGGCTTTGCTAAAGTCAGCGTATATCACGTCCACTTCTTTTCCCCCATCCACAGAGTCAGTCACCTCATCGTAGAAGGTTGTCAGGCATGACGCGCCCTTGGCAAATCTATGCTGACTGTTCCTAATCACCTTTTCCTCCAGGTGCTTAGAAATGGATTTCTTGAGGACCTGCTCCATGATTTTTCCAGGGACCGAGGTGAGGCCGGCTGGCCTGTAGTTCCTCAGATCCTACTTCTTCTGTTTCTTAAAGATGGACACTATCTTTGCCCTTTTCCATTCATCCAGGACCTCTCCTGATCACCATGAGTTTTCAAGGATAATGGCCAACGGGTCAGCAATCACATCAGCCAACTCCTTCAGCACCCTTGGGTACATTGTGTCTGGTCCCATGGAGTTGTACACATCCAGTTTTTCTAAATAGTCCCTAACCTGTTCTTTCACTACTGTTGGCTGCTCACCTCTTCCCCAAACTGTGCTGCCAGGTGCAGTAGTTTGGGAGCTGACCTTGCCTGTGAAAACTGAGGTAAAAAAGGCATTGAGCACTTGAGCCTTTTCTATATCATCTTGTCACTAGGTTACCTCCCCGTTTCTGTAAGAGACCCACTTTCCCTGATGGTTTTCTTGTTGCTGACATACTTGTAGAAACCCTTCTACCCTTCACATCTATTGCTAGCTGCAACTCTAGTTGTGATTTGGCTTTCCTGATTTCATGCCTGCATGCCTGAGGGATAACTTTTAAACTAGCTTGCAAGAACAGTCCGACTCAATTATGATAACTTTTCCAGTTTTGAATTTGTGTATAGAGCAGCAGTAGAAATTGACCTGCTTTGTTCATGCCGAAATGGATTGACAATTAGAGTTCCTGAGAGAGATTTAATGAACAGAATAAATATAAAGAACATTAAAGGAAAATGAAAGTGTCATTGAGAAAAATAATCTAATTAAATTATGAGCCTCTAAAAATGCTTAACACAGCATTTGGAGATATCATTATATACCATAATATTGTTTACTTCAATACGGCTTTCTGTCTAAACCCTAGATACACGTGTTGATCTCAATTAACTAACTCATAATTTTTGTGCCCAATTATGCCCATTGAATTTTTCACAAACAGGGAAGTCATCACATTTTCCATTAATAGAAATGATTTACAACACAAGAGGGCCACAAATACAGTTGAATTAAATTCCCTTTATTATTTTAGCAGCTATTCCATTTTCCAGGATTCTTTCAGCAGGTCTGTTACTTAAAATAGCTTTCCAATACTCCTTTAGAATAAACAAATGGTTACAGAAAGTGAACAGAGAAGGTGAAATGGAGGGTTTTTTTATATACACCGGTAATACTGATTTTAGAATTTGGTTGGGATAAGTTAAGGATCCAGGCTGAAACCCTTTTAAGTCAAGATAAATGGAGTCAGTTTCAGCAGAGACTGTGCCTCCATACACATATTCAAATTCTGGGAATTCTCCCAGGTTTGTTCTCCTGGTAAGAAAACCTACCCAGAGAGACACATGAACAGATATTTGGATGCTGAGCCTTTGAAGAGCAGAGAGCTTGCAGTGCTGATGGCTAATGCTGAACAGCCAGGGCCCCCGCCTGCCCCATGTAAAATTCTCAGCATACTCTGCAGGCTCCTCCAGTCTGCCCAGAAGCACATAGGGGGTACCCCTGACTGGTTGACTTGGACTACCTGTTTCCCTGCTTTTTATTTTATTTATATAAGTTACACAGTATAGTGGCAGTGCTATAATAAATAATTTCAGCTTTTATTAGAAAACATACAAGAAAACCAAACTAAACTAAACCATCTCTAGCTGTTATTATTTGCTCATAGATACATAAATAAATAAAATGTTCCAGGTCAAATTAGCCAGATCAGTCCCAAATCCTTTGAATTGTTCCATATTGGCCATGTTCCTGGCAAGCGTATGTGGCCTTGCTACCAGCAAGTATTGATAAAGGACTGCTGTCAGACCTTACTGATATATAAACATTCCATGGATTTTAGAATACCATTTTTTTTTTTTATTAAATAAATGAAACAGATTGTGATCCAACATACGTGTAAGTATGGCTTAAGGCTAATGGTTGTTGCTTCCAATATATCCTTTATGGCACACCGAGGAAATTGGGGTCAGCAGCTCTCTCCCTTCCTGGGTTGGGAGAGATGCATCTTCCAGAGCATTTGCCATAACTATTTTCTTTTGAAATGAAAATGCTTTAGGCTAGCAGCTACATACCTGCTAAAAATCAGCAGGGTACAACTGCACAGCAGTGTTTAGATCATGGTAATAAATTCTCACTCATGAATGGATGGATCTGTGCAACCTTCCTGCATCCCCTTGAAGCTCAAAAAGAATTCACTGAAATCCCAAATTTCACCAAAGATGCCAGAAACATGATGGCAGACATCTTGTTTCTTCATGTTGTGGTGATGGACGCTTATCAAATTGTTTGACGTATGGAAAATAACATGCGGTTTTTACATGGCACTTCACATGTTCATACCATTGCAGAGAAATATACTAGGTACTGAATCCTCATGAAGATGCTGAATAGGTTAGTGTTTTCCTTACTTTGCTGATGGGAAGTGATTTGGTCAAAATCATACCAAGTCAGTGACAAAGACAGAATGCAGGCCTGCCCAGCTTCTAGCTCCTTGCACATATTTTTGCAGACTGGTATCTTCCAGCCTTTGGGAAAGATGAGTGGGAAGACATCTTCTGAGTTCTCTCACTGTTAAGAATATGTATATTGTATTCTATTCTGCTGCTGCTGAGCGTGTGGAAGGAGTTTGACAGGAAGAGAAATCACCAGATGATCTCAGTGATTCATCTAAGATACATAGTCACAAGTCATTAGTTTGGGTTTTTCTTATTTTGCTCCAACAGCTTTAAATTGTTACTGGTAGATGTTTTGCGTGCTAGATTGTCAACACTGTTTTGTCTAGAGTGGGAAACAGAGAAAAGGAAATTTATCTGAGAACCCCCGAGTAGAGATAAAAAGTGTATGTAATACTTTTATGGGCAGCGTATTTCTTTTTTCTGTCTGTAATAACCAGTAATAATATCAGCCTGCACTACAGTCAGCATTTTTCTTTGCAGTTTGTGAATGAGTTCACTGAATGAAGTGAGATTTAGTTTATAGTTATTACTCTTTAAAAATGGTGCAGGATGATTCCATAAACCATAAGAGAAGGTCCTTCTGAGGATAAAAAAGCAGATGCTTGCAAGAATATCATATAAACTTAATTCCTTTGGCAATGATCTGTTTTAGCTTTGAAGGGAAAAGGTACATTGCTGGAGTCTGATTTCCAAACAGCTTGTGTCTAGGAAATATTATAGAGCTGGGGTTAAACTGGAAAGTTTTGACTATTTGTTAACCTTTGCCAAAAGTTGACATTGCTCAGATCTTAGGGTTTAAGCTGCATCCTATGAATGAAATTTATAGTTGTCCTAGAAGATAGAGATGGAAACTGAGCAAAGCGAGTTTTTTTTCCCCAGACATATATGTAGTAGAAATACTTTTGAAAGTGATGTCTTTATTTAAAGCTTCAGATCAAACAGTTTACTATCATTTTTAGAAGCAGCAATGGTATGAAAAATATCTATTCCAATTCTCTTATAAATCCCAGAGTTAAATCATCAGTATCAATTTATTAAGAGTTAAACTTAAATTCCTGGCATTATTTTTTGTTCAGATGTTTTGCTCTTCTCTGTTTCACTTTAGATCCATTGCAGACATGTTGGAAGCCCTTTGTGAATTAATTTTGGTTTTCTTCTGCTATCAAGTTGATTCAGTAGAACTTCAAGGAGAAGGACATTATGTTGCTGCTGTGTATGAACATGAATCCATACTGAGTCCTAATCCAACAGCCCTCACTGATCGACAGTCTGCATTAGAACTAATGAGAAGAAACCTAGACATCTACGAAGAGCAAGTAATAGCTGCAGCCAAACAAGTAAGATATAATAGGATGAGAATTTTTTTTGGCAGTCTTAACTTGTGTAAAATACGTTTTTATAATTGAAGACAATCTTTTCAAACTTGGTTACCTAAAGTTCGACACCTAGGCTAAGTACAGACAGTCAAAAAGTCCAACGCTGAATCAATTCAGTCTTTGCAGGTTAGTCTAAACTGTGGAGATTAAACTGAGAAACAACTGGACACATTTACTTCCAATTCAGGAAATGCAGCCACATGCCTGCAGTGGCTCAGGCCAGAAGCAGGGGGGCGCTAGAGCATGGCTCTGGCACAGCCAGCATGGGCTGTGTGTTCAGTTCCTCTTCCTGTTGCTTCCAAGGTCTCTGGGATTTGCATTCCAGAATCAGAAGCAGGGCTTTGCAAGGTTGCTGGGCTCTTCTGCTTGCAGGTGCCTCTGGGATTTGTAGTCCACAGATGCAGCCAGCAGTAACTTTCACCAAGTTTAGCAGGGCAGCTCTGTACTCAAGGGAAGTGGGTTTAACTGGGGGGAGTGAAGGGGAAGGGGAGGGGGCAGACCCTTCAAAACCCTCCTCTGCTGGAGCAGACAGCACAGCCCAGCCCAGGGCTAGAAAGCATGCTGGGATGCCTGGTATTCAGAGAATCTGAACAGCTAGCAACTCCCACTCAGGTCAGTACCTCTTGAATTCAGATCAGTTAATAAGTTACTTTATTTCAGGTACTTAGATTTGAAGAACAGGCCCACTTGTTGGTGAACAACTCTTTCAATTTTTTATTGAAAATCCAACGTAAAATACTGCAGACCTCTTTTCTAGCTCTTCATTATACACTTGCCAGTAGAGCAATATCTGTCACCTTCATGTCTCTGTGAGCTGCATCCTCTACTTGCAGGGTTGGGCCTGTGGATTGTTTACTTCTGTAAAAATCAACAACTCTGTAAGAAAATAGGAACTGCCTTCATGAATAGCACATGGGTTGCCGTGGGAGGAGTTTATGCTCCTCCAAGGTACGCATGACCGATAGAAACGGAGTACTAGGTAGGGACAATGTGGAACTCTTTAAGGGTAGATACATTGTGACCTTGCACCCGTATTATATATCACTACTTAATCTTTTGCATGATCTATGAAGCAGTGTTAATATAGCATCCAGGATAGGTTTAAATGATCCTTCTTAAGGGAAAGTATGAGAAAGGAGAACAAGCCTTGACCCTAGACTAGAAATTCCCAGCAGCTTCCTGTTAGACTGATGGGTTGGCTGTACCAGCTAAGGGAGGGCGCTAACGCAGACCTTAGAATGAACTGTTATTTGTTTTTGCAAAGAAAATCTCCAATTCCTATTTTCCTGAGCACGGAACAATCATAGTTATTTATGAACATTTAAAAAAAGTCACCTAGAACTGTATCACTGGTTATGAAAGCACATAAGAAAGGAAGAGGTGGGGGAGTCACAGTGAGTTACAGACTGACACTAGAAGTGGAAGTATTTCTTTCGTTTCCTTCCCAAGTCATGAAGGGCCCAAACACAAAGAGCCTAGAAGAGCCCAGCAGGTCATCTGAGCTGCACTGTAGAGAGGCCATCCCTCTCACATCCAGCAGAGCCCATGAACCTATTCTGCCTTTATGAAGGCGAGGGGGAAAGTTCAAGGAGCACAGAGATCCCTAGCTGCCAGCTGTTTTTGTTTTTCTTACAGGGGGCGCAGATCATTGTCTTTCCTGAAGATGGAATCCATGGCTTCAACTTCACCAGAAAGTCAATTTTCCCTTACTTAGAATTCGTTCCACATCCCCGCTCCATGACATGGAATCCATGCAGACAGCCACATCTGTTCAATGATACAGAGGTATGTTTTAAAGTAATGTACTACAGGGTGTGATGGAAAAACAGAGGACTTATACTCCAGGTGGTGGACAGACAGCAGAAGCAAAGTTCTCAAAAAAATTAACTGTCTCAAGTTTACGTAAAGAAATAAGCAATAAAAACCCCATAGTTTGTAAGGACCAGATTCCTCAGTGACTCTCAGTTTACACTGGCATTGTTCCATAAACAGAATTACACCATTTTTGCACCTATGTTATTGAGAACAGTAGCAGCCCTACGTGAGCAGAATTGATGCCATGTAGAGAGTTTCTGAAAAGAGGCAGGGTTTTTAAAAAAGCAGATTGAAGCTTTAGGATCTGCTGATTTAATTAACAGTTCATTTTCATCAGTACTTTCTTTTTTAAATATTTTGTTATGTAAAAATGAAGTAACAGTCCCTCACTGGACACATAATTTATCTATGTTTACTGAAGGGATTTAACAGAGTAATGCAGTGGTTGTACCAAATGTCCCCCCCCCCTCCCCACCCCCAGCTATTATTT